TTTTTAGCAAACCCAAATTCAAAATCATTGTATTTATACGAATTCATTTAAAAATGATATCTGAGTAATTCCCTCCCCCCATTATAAACTATGATTAGAACATTTACAAATGAGAAAGTCTAAGTGTTATATTTTATGAAATGGCTATGCTGAGTATAATATACTGCATGGATGGTTTTACACAGTGGTAGCAGCAATATAAACCTAGGTCAGGTGGTGTAGTGACAGGAAGCAGGTAAGTCTTCATACAAGGCTACCATAGCCTTCCTCTGAGTCTCCTTCACAATGATCCTGTATTTGTGCCCAGAATTATGTGACTAGTAAATATCCATACATGTATCATTCAGAAGAATCAGCATAAACCTGAATAGGGTGATTTCCTTTTTCTCATTCTCAGTTCCTGATGCATTTAATGTGTGTGCTCACTAAGTTAGAATCAAGAAACTGATCCTGGTTGGCTCTGAATCAGAGGCCTCCAACTATTGCCTTTAGGAATGTTGCTGGCAGACACATTTGTGTAGCTATCACAGGGCTTGAAAACCTGAATTTGAATGTCTTTATGCTGGGATGTGTATTTTCTCTGCTGTCATTAACCAAGCCCCTTCCCATCTTTGTGTTCTATATCTGGCCCCTAGGTTGAGTTTGCAACCCCTCAATCTAGATGCACCTGGCTGGTTCTGATGATGTGTGGGAAGCTGGTGAAGAAGCAAGTAATTCTTTTGGGATTTAGATAGGCAAAGATTTCGATGAGGAAGAGATAAACACTAGCCAAGTTAGGAGCACAGGGTGGAGTTAGAAGAAGGCTAAGTTACTGGGAAGATTAGGCCTAGGTCAAAGTCTGAATATGTGGCTTTTTCCAAGTAGTTGCTAATTCTGGTTACTTGTCAAGGTCCACAGGGTACTGAGGTAATGGAAGTAGGTGTCTATTGGTCTCATGAAGAAAGGAGCTAGCCTTGAACTAAGAAATGAAATAAGCAAACAGGATGAAGAAGCTTGCACCCTCAGGCCCAAAGCTGTATTTTTTGTATCCCACAGTCCTAGCCTGAGGACTGTGGTTATGGAAGGAGAAAGGCTGATGTCATGGCTGTACTGATGCTCCTCAGGCCAGTGAGCTCCAGATAGTTGCATGTCCTTTTCACTTTCCAGCACACAAACGTTGCAAATGCATGACAGTGTGCAGGCTGCAGGTGGCCAGTTATTCTATGTAAGTTAGGAAAGGAATATTCACCTCACTTTTATTCCATTTTATTACCTGGTCACTTAAATTCTCTCTCAAACAGCATATAGAAATTGTTATATCCTGATCTTATGAGCAGTGCTAAGTGCAAGGAAATCATCAGAGCAAAGGTACCACAAATACCCTCTGAAATAAGTTTAAAAAAAGAAAACAATCTTGTTTTTCTTACATCAGAACTAACCCCTTCTTTGGTTGACTCGAATCTGAGAGAATGTTTGTCTTGTCAACATAAGAGAAAACTTAAGTCAAAGCAGACCGAGGGAAGGTTTTCCCCACCTATTTTAGGAACAGTTGCTTACTCCACTGCAAAGGCTCTGCTCCTTTTCAGATGTTGAATGGTTTCTAATAATGAGAGGGTGATTTCTTTAAAGAATAAACTCTTTGGAGCCATCCAGTGCTCTATCAGACTCTCAATTACACACCTCTCACCCCCAGGCCAGGCTCACCCACAGGGGAAGAAAGCCACAAGATCAGGAGGGAGGTTACATGCTATATCATGGGAGCACACGTGGTGATCTGCCCACTTTTGCCCTGCCACAAATGGACCTTTCACTTTCTTGTCGGGTTTAGCAATTTCCACCCACTAGCATTAAAGAATCCAAAACCTGTCTTTTGCATATTACAGATGCTCCAACACCTAGACCTTGGAACTCCCGAGTGGTTCTGGGTTTGCCTTCTCTGGGTCCCAGAGCTATGAAACCCACAGTGAATATTTTATTCATATTATTTGTTCAGAGCTTTAAAAAGGTTGGAAAAAACCCCTTGATTACTTGTTGTTAATTTTTAAAAATTGAACATAATTCACAGTATAAGAAGCCCAATAATTTGAGTGAGTTCCTAACTGGTTTAAGCATCATAGCAGGCAACAGTAAAATGTTAAATGCCTTAGAAAAGTCAAAAGAAATGCATAAAGCAGTGCATGCATTTTGCTGACACAAAATTAAGACTGGGTTTGGAGAGGGATTCATTTAAGTCACATCATTATTGTTGAAGGATAGTGAATTATAGTGCAATATCTAGGCCCAAGTATATAACCACCTACACTAACATCACTTTATCTAGAAATGACAGAGTGTCACTAAATGCGCACATTTATAAATAAAATACTGTACACTGCTTCCATATTGGGTTAGCAGATGTAAACAAACAACTAAGACAGCTGGAGTTTAAAATGTTACTTTAAGTTCGGATCTGTCATAGAGTCTTTTGCATAACATGCCAGTCTGTCTTTCATAAAATCACAACTTGCCTACTATGGCTCGCAGGGCTTGGTAGAGATGTGTATCAGCTTGTACAAATATCTTACAGTGGTCTGAAGGAATGTAAAAGACATAAAGTAGATCAGGAACAAAAATGCCCTTTTCACAAGGGTGCCAAATAACATGGAATTGCAAACATAATTAATCCCTTGCAACATGTGCTTTATTGAATGTTACAGATTTATAAATGATTATAAAGCTGTCCTGTAACGTTCATTAATACAACCACATGCTACAACTAGGCTGGGTTAAACATGGGTTACATATATGTTTACATGTGTCATATAATACAGCATTGCCCATCATATCATATATTATAGCCTACAGATATAGCATGATGGATGACTGGATAATATTTAGTATCTTTAGCGAAATCAAACAGCCCAAACATTCAGGAAGATTAGACTGTACGGCCTTAGACAGAAAGACAAAGGTACTATCCAGTTATCTACCATAATATCTATAGAAACCATATTTTAGAATACATTTGCAACATTCAGAAGAAACACAATTTGTGTTTTTACAAGTACATTTTCTCATTTAATTATTCTTATATATATATCTTAAAAAGGGAACTTACAAAGTGCTAAACAATAGCCTGGCCCTGGGAGCTTAGACGTAAAAAAGAAATCCAGTTCTGTAAAGTGCTGCATTCTGACTGATAACCCACAGCTTGGCTTGCAGAAATACTCAGACTAGCCATGATGAGGGCACTCAGCTTTCTAGCTCTGTTCAAAGCCATCAAAGAGAGGGTTTCTAACTATAAATATAAAATATGTTAGTTAATCAGCCTCCATGGTCATTTCCATAAAACAGCCTTAATATTTTCCCAAAAGGAATAAGCAATTTAGAACAAATCATTACATATAGTAGTATATAAAAATTGGCACCTCTGAAGCAGATGATAAAACGAAGCTGTGACTTCCTTGAGCGCTACAACTTTATTTACAGTCCTCAATAACTCACTGCTCATGAGCTGCTTAATTCACAGAGACAGGTAATTAACATCCCCTTGATCAGGAACATGGTGGAATTAATGAGCAGGCATAAGCTGACTATACAAGGCCACAGAATCAATGCCACACTGGTGCACAGAGAACCCAGAAAATGGAAAGAGATGGGATTGAAAAATAACACACATGTATGTGTACAGAAAAGAGATGGCTTAGTGAGAGTTACACAGTTTGTGTCTAAAGTCATTTAGTTTGGCTTATATACTGCACACATGTCACCAAAGATGTTAGCACTCAATTTTCATGCACAAAAAAAACCAGGTCGTCACAAGAGAGGACTGTTAAGTAGTTTCCCTGGTTGTGTTCTTTTCTCTCCCCAAACCAGGACTGATAGAAACATTCACACTCATCATTTCCTTCCCTCCACTTTTAATCTGTTCCAAAATGAGGCCCGGAGGTGCTTGACGTCCTGTTCTATGGTCAAATGATAATGGTTTCACCTCTTTCTTGGGTTCTTCCATAGACTCCCTTAGGGAGCCTTTGGCTTTTTGAATATTCTTGCTATTTAAAAATCATCAAAACATTAGGATAGAAGGGCATTGAACTTGCCATATCTAATCTAAGGAATGAAAATAACAACACCTTGGTTCAAAGTCTGGTGCTTAGACTTGGCCTTCCTGAGAATCACAGAGAAATGGTCTTAAAATGTAAAGTGCCTATCATACTGATAATGAACAAAGATGGTTCCTTTTCCTCATTATCAATCAATATGGAACCAGGGGGTTGTGAACCTTTTAAAGTTATGTTGCAATGTCACATACATGCACATTTTTTGGTGGGGATGGCTCAGAGTATTCCTCAGATCTTCATAGGAACTCTTGGCTCAGCGAAGTTTAAAGACAACTGATTTATTCTCAGATTAAATGCATGTCTGCTGAGAGGGAAATCACAATGTGGAACCCAATAAAGTAAAAGTGACTCTAGAACAATTATAAAATGGAGGGCTTGGGTGTTACTAATTCATAACATACCAAGGGGTGAAAAAGGAATTCTTCACCTATGTGATGTCACTCTTATTATACTGAAAAGCTTGTTCCATTAAAAAAATATATATAAAGGCCAGAAGTTTTACAATGGATTTGCTTGATTTCACAGAATGAGCTATTAATTGGTGTTTATAGCTACAATTAAACAAAAGAACCAGGTAGTATCTTGGATCAGGAACATAAGTCATTTAAAAATTCTTTTAATTTCCATGATCCAAATAGGAATCCAAAGATTTGGCAGCCAAGATTTCTTTATCCCACTTCAAATCCAGATTCTGATCTGGAAGCTGCTGCCTCCATTCTAGAGTCCATGATACTATCTGGTTCAGAATAACATGTTTATTCAAATGGTACTTGGTGTAATAGCTTTGTGTAAGAGAAGCCAGAATAATGGCGATGTCACAGCAGTGTGCTTTTGGACAAAAAGGGGCAGAGAGCAGGCAGATGGTGAGTCATTTTGATAACTCGTGGTATCAGGAAAAGTTAAGATGATAGGGATTTTGAAAAGTCATAATTTCAGCAGTTGGTTTAATAGCATAATGAACTCTCTCAGTGGAACTCCTTGGATATTAAAAAATCTTGATAATACTTCCAGGTGATAGAAAAGTCCAAGCCTCTTAAGAAAGCTCTTTATGTCTGTTTATATACTATATATAAACACGTGTCTCTGTGTAAATGCATACATATGTATATAAGCAGCATACACTATAGGACTCTTTATATGGTTTATTTGCTTTCTATTGTGGTCTACTGTATCTTTTTTTTTAAAAAATAGCTCTGTATATAAGAAAAACATTCATGGTATGCCTGCCACTGATGGCTTTGGGTTGATACCAAACTCCCAGTCAATTCTAAGGTTATTTATGGTTTTGAAACTTCCTAAAAAGTACTTTGGAACATTTCCATGAAAAAAAAAAAGATACCAGCCCTTGAAAAACTCCAATTAAATTTATGCTGAGCTCAGATTAGATGGCAAACTCTAGGTATGAAAATATCCACATATAACCATGTGTTCGTATACAAAATGGTCATGTGATGAGTGGTGTGAAAAATTGGCAGTTTCTTCTTGGAAGTGTTCAGAGGACACGGTGGAGTCATGCAAATGATGAAGATCACACAGCATCATAACACGTTATGAATGGTGAGACTATAGCAATATCCCACATGGCAGTTTTAGGTTAGTTTTGCCCACTTTTTTTTTAAAGTTCAATATTATATACTCATGAGTGACTTCACTGATGACAGGTGAGATACAAAATAAACTTTAAAATATAAAATTATTTAATCACATTCATCCTGAGCTTGCTTGACTCTACTTGAATGCCCACTCTATGTAATAAATCACGTGACTTTTGTTTTTAACATCAACTCTTCTTTCATTTTGATTGCAAGACACAAAGGCATTTCTGTTCCCTTATTTTCTTCAAAAAAGATAAACAGTTGTGGCACCAGAAGTGAATAGATAAGAGACAGGTGAACTATGACTGTTACCTTGTTTTTTCTTTATAATGACCAATTACAGAAGTGGAGGCATGAGAAGAATGTGGGACGTTAGGTAGAACTGCTTGCTGCCGGCTTATACTGAATAAAAAGGATGCTCTTCATCAGTCACCAGTGATGGAGCCAATGCGAAAAGAAAACAGAATTGAAGTTTAGAATATCTCATTTTGTATGCTGGCTATTTTACTTTATTTTGCAATTTAGTTCTCAATTCTTGATAATGGACAAAAATCACAAGATGCCTCCTGGCATGGAGAATGCTTGAAGCCCCCTTGGTCCCCAGAGCTCATGGCTTTCTGCAGTGACTGGCAATACACATTCATCTCTAACCCTTCTTTTCCCCCTTTCCCCTCCCTACCCAGCAAGCATGAACATGCTTTAGCTCCCCTGTGTTTGGCACTGGGTCAGATCAAATACTTTCTTGATCTGTGGCCCAGAAGTCACCTTTGAATTAACATCTCCCAATGCATTGCTTGTTTTGCTCAGCTAAGAATAAAGTAGGTAGGATTTAAGGAAGTGTGTGGGGGGGTGGGGGTGGAGTTTGAGGAGACTTTTAGGACTGGGTTATTGAGCCTCCTGCAATGCACAGTAAGATGGTTTAGTTGTGCTTGCTTTCAAAGCTGTGGAAGGCCGACATTCTGGATAGTCTCCTCATGGACAGGCTGTCCCCTCGGCCTTCTGGCTTGGAGGACTTACTTCTCTGGAAGGGGTTTCGCAGGCTTGCTGTGTTCCGCTGCCTGTCGAGCTTGTCACTGATGGAGAAGCTCTTCCTGGTGTGTGCATATGGCGCGCTTGGCTCCTCTGCCGAGTAGCTGTTGGCGCGCTCTATTTTGGGAACCGTGATGTTGTTGGATAAGGTTCTGTCTGAGTTGTCACCCTCTTGGGAGGATATGGCAATGGCAGCTCTCCGGCCTCGGGCCTCATTCTCCTCACTGTCAGAGCTAGGGTGACTCAGTTCTGCTTCTCGTTCAGGATGGCAGCAAGATAAGTCCTCCACTTTGTCTCCAAGACCTCCAGGGAAGGTGGCTCTGTCAGCAATCACTTGAGGGGCATTGACACACCTTGTGTCAATACAGTCTGTAATACTTGTATATTCTGCTGTTTTCATAGGCACCCCAAAGTTGGCATAATAACTCCTTGAAGGAGAAAACATAAAGCTATGAGATTTCACAATGGGGGCCTCTTCTAGAAGAAAAGGTGTGGTGGCTAGGTAGCGGCTACTTTTAGAACGCTCAATGGTGTGGTACATTGGAGGGTCTGAGTCCCAGGGGTTTTGGCATTCTGGGAGGTGGGTGTAGTCTGAAGAAAAAGATCTAGTGTCCATGGAGGTGATGTCTTCAAAATCGATGCTCCGGCTTGGAGGTCTGTCTGTGGGTGCAAGGGTTGCATAGGCACTACTTGAAGGGGCTGTGGAAGGTGCTGGAGCTGAATAGCTTGGCTCACCCAGCCCCAGGATGTTCATGGAATTGTCCAGAGGGTCTATGTCACAGTGGAGCTCATCCATGGCAGAGACATAGATGTCGATGCACGACGACGGTCTTCTGGAGTCTGGAACAATGGCCAAGGTGTTTGTAGGTGCTATGGGAGCTTTGGATTCTTTTGTTACTGAGTGGGAACTAGTAGCCCGATGCAGACTCAGGGACCTTTCTTTAAAAATACTTTCCAACTTGTCTATACCACCTTTGTCTTTCATATTGACTGAATAGAAAGAATGGCTTCGCATACGGGGCATTAAGGTTGGAGAAGTTGGGGACATGGTCTCCTCACCTGCAGGGTCTATACTCTCTTGGAGCTTGAAAGTGTTCCCCTCCTGGCTGTTGAAGCTGCTTTGGCGGACAATGTAGGCTGCGTCTGTGCAGTCTGAGGAGGTCCTGGAGCGGATTTTGTTGGATTCAGTCCGCTCCAGACCTGTCAGGCGCTCCAGGGCTGCGGCCATGCGCCCGATGAGGTCCTCAAGCTGTGCCAGTCGGATGTCCACGGTCTGGAGCGAAGCCTTCATGGAGTGCTCTCTCTCATTGACTTCTTCCAGCCTCATGGACATGTTCTCCACCCTGTGTGAGGAGGAGAGAGCAAGAATCACTTGGGTCCTAGGGTACCTCTATAGGGCATTTAGGTTCAGACCTGGTGTAATTACAGCTCTTCTGGAGGGAAACTGAGGTATATGAGTAGTGAGACAGGCTGGGGAGGAGAGAGTGGCACTGATACTATTACCATGAGTCACAGAATCCAAACCCATTTGTGCTGGGAGAAATTTCAGAGATGATCTAATCTTGTGTGTGTGTGTTTTTAGTACTGAGGTTTGAACTCAAGGTCTTATGCTTACTAAGCAGGCACTTTACCACTTATTTTTCTTCTGAAGAATCTTGCTGTGTTGCACATGCTGGTCTTGAACTCTTGGGCTCAAGTGATCCTCCTGACTCAGCCTCCTGGGTAATGTGGAACTTCAGGCATTTGTGTCCATGCCTGGCCCAATCCAGTGGTTTTTAACTTTCTGTTTAGCATACCCTAGGTACTGGGCACTGGCAGCTTTTGAGTTCAGGAAGAGTAATAAAGGGCCGAACAGTTCTATTCTTCTTCCTGATTTTTCTGGAGCCCATTATAGACAGGTTGGTATTTGAAAGAGACAACAATGCTTTTTTGGCATCACTGTGTGTGATCACTGGTCCAAGAACTGTAAAATATCTCCTTGCCACAGCCTGTGCTATAGAGCCTTTCTCCCCACATCCCAGCTCTCATCAGGCCTAAGATCCAGTGTCATAGAGGAAACTAGCAGATGAGAGGCAGACCTGAGGCACAGCAGGTAACAGAAGACTCAGGACCCATTGTGAGCAGTAAGCTGGACACAGGCTGAGGAGCCCAAGTTGGATGGAAAATGGGGGAATTGGGAGGAAGGGAGTCTTCAGGGAAAACCAGGTGGGGCCAGGTAGGACCCCCCCCACCAAGAGTAAAGAAACATATCCCAGGAAATGGAATCAGGGGAGGGAAGCCGACTGTGATAGGGCCACAGAACTATTTTGTTTTTTGAGACAGGGTTTTGCTATATAGCACAGGCTAGCCTCAAACTCACTATGTAGCCCAGGCTACAACTTGCAGTCCTCCTGCCTCAGACTCCTGAGCACTGGAATTACAGGCATGTGCCACCACACCAAGTCTGAGAAACTATTCTTGTCCAACTCTTAACTCTTTCTATGTTCTTGGAGGTGGAGTAGAATACAAATCTTTCTCCAAACAATAATGAACTGTGTTATTCATTTTCTTGCAGAATTCTGGGTGTGTTTAATCATCTAATTTCTTAAGTGTCTGATTATTTAAATCAAGGACCTAATTGACAGGGGCTTAAATAGGAGGTATTCATCACAAATACCAATGAAATTCAGAGGATCATTAGAGAATAGTTTAAAAGCTATATTCAAATAAATTGGAAAATTCAGAAGAAATAAATTTCTAGAAACATATGACTAACCTAAATTGAACCAAGAGGATATAAATTACCTAAATAGATGTATAATAAGTACTGAAATTGAAGCAGCAATAAAGAATTTCTCCCCCACCCTCAAAAGAAAAGCCCAGGACTTGGCAGATTCACTGCTGAATTCTACCAGATCGTTAAAGAATAATTAATACCAACATTCCTTAAATTTTTCCATGAAATAGAAAAGGAAGGAACACTATCACACTCAATCTATGAAGCCAGTATTATATTCATCCCCAAACCAAACAAAGACAACAACATAAAAAAAAAGAATTATAGGCCAATCTCTTTAACATAGATGTAAAATTCTCAATAAAGTACTGGTAAACTGAATTCAACAACATATCAAAATGATCATACACCATGATCAACTTGGTTTCATTCCAGGGATGCAGGGATGGTTCAACATACACAAATCATTGAATGTAATACAGCATATAAACAGAAGCAGGGACAGAAACCACAAGATTATCTCAATAGATGCAGAAAAACCTTTTGACAAAAATACAACATCCTTTCTTGATAAAAGCTCTGATAAAACTAGTAATAGAAGGAATGTACCTCAACATAATAAAGGCTATGTGACAGACCTATAGCTAATATCATACTAAATGGGGAAAAACTGAAACCATTTCTTCTAAAGTCATGAGTGAGACAAGAGTGTCCACTCTGTCTACTCTTATTCAACATAGTTTTGGAATTCATAGCCAGATCAACAAGACAAGAAGAAGAAATAAAAGGAATTCAAATAGGAAAGGAAAAAGTCAAATTCCCTATTTGCAGATGATCTTATTTGAAGATGATCTTATACCTAAAAGAGCTCTCCTCTCCCCGCCCCAAAAAAAACTCCATCTAAAAACTCCTAGACATCATAAACAGCTTCAGCAAAGTAGCAGGATACAAAATCAATACACAAAAAAATCAATAGCTTATCTATATGCCAACAACGAACAGACTGAAAAAGAATTTAGGAAGACAATTTTACTTACAATAGCCTCAAAAGTACATAGGAACAAACTTAAAAAAAGTGAAAGAGCTCTCCAGTGAAAACTATCAACCACTGAAGAAAGAAATTGAAGCCTACAGAAGATGGAAAGATCTCCCATGCTCATGGATCAACAGAAATAATGTCACGAAAATGCCTGTACTACCAAAAGCCATCTATATTTTTAGTGCAATCCCCACCAAGATCCAATGACATTTATCACAGAGATTGAAAAAAAATCAACCCTAAAATTCATGTGGAAGTACAAAAGACTGCGAATAGCCAAGGCAATACTAAGCAAAAAGAGCAATGCTGGAGGTATTACAACACCTGACTTCAAACTATATTACAGAGCCATAGCAATGAAAATAGCATGTTACCAGCACGGCAAATATGAAGACCAATGAAACAGAATAGAAGACCCAGACATAAATCCACACAGCTACGCCCACCTGATTTTTGACAAAGGCACCCAAAACATATGATGGAGAAAAGATGGCTTCTTCAGCAAATGTTTCTGGGAAAATTGGATATCTGCATGCAGAAGACTGAAACTAGATCCATGTACCCTACACAAATATCAATTCAAGGTAGATCAAAGACCTTAATGGAAGTCGGAAATGTTGAAACTAGTGCAGGAAAGAGTAGAAAATATACTGGAATATTTAGGAATAGTCAATAACTTCCTACTAGAACTCCAATGGCTCAACAACTAAGAGAAAGTATTGACAAATGGGACTACATGAAACTAAAAAAACGGTCTTCACAGCAAAGGAAACAGTTACCAGACTGAATAGGCAGCCACAAGATGAAGGAAAATCTTTGCCAGCTATACATTTAATAAGGGATTAGTAACCAGAATATATATAGAGCTTAGAAAACTTCCCAGTACGGACAGGCAAGTTCTTCCTCAGTAGAACTCAAGGGCTCAGCAACTCAGAGAAAGGATGGACAAATGGGACTACATCACATTAAAAAACTTCTGCACAACAAAAGAAATGGTCTGTAAATTGAAGAGGCCACCCACAGAATGGGAGAAAATATTTGCCAGCTATACATCAGACAAAGGACTGATAACCAGAATGTATAGGGAGCTCAAAAAACTAAACTCCAAAAAAAAAAAAAAAAAAAAAAAAAAAAACTGAGCAGAGCTTTTTTTCAAAGGAAGAAGTCCAAATGGCTAAAAAACACATAAGAAAATGCTCACCATCCCTGGCTATAAAGGAGATGCAAATCAAAACCACATTAAGACTCCACCTCACTCTTGTTAGGATAGCTACCATCAAGAACACCACCAACAATAAATATTGGTGAGGATGGAGGGTTGGGGAAGAACTCTCACACACTGCTGGTGGGAACATAAGCTAGTACAACCACTATGGAAAACAATCTAGAGGCTCCTTAAAAAACTAAAAATAATCTGCCATATGATCCAATAATACCACTCCTAGGGATATACCCAAAGGAATTTAAATCAGGTTTCAACAAAGGCACCTGCACCTGCACTCCCATGTTTATTGCAGCACTATTGACAATAGCCAAGCTATGGAAACAGCCATGATGCCCCACTACTGATGAATGGATCAATAAAATGTGGTATTTATACACAATGGAATTTCACTCAGCCACAAAGAAGAATGAAATTTTGTCATTCACAGGTAAATGGATGGAACTGGAAAACATCATCTTAAACGAAGTTAGCCAGGTTCAGAAGGTCAAAAATCACATGTTCTCCCTCATATGCAGATTATACACCTAAAACAAATGCAGCAATATTATTGGACAGGGGGACACTAAGGGGAGGCCATGCAGGGGATGAACGGGGAAAGGCAAGGAAACAAAAAACTTGAATGTGGTTGATGTGTTCACTGTATAGGAACAAATATAGTAATCTTAAAGTGGTAGAGGCCACTATGGGAAGGGGACTAGGGAGTAGTGAAGAGGACTGGTAGAGATGAACCAATGTGGGTTGCAATACACATTGCATGGAAACACACAAAGAATCTCCCTGTATAGCTGTCTTTATCTCAAACTAGCAAAAACACCATGTTTTTCTTATTATCGTTTACATTTTTCTTCTTCAAAGTTGGAGAACAGGAGGGGGAACAGGAGGTGGGGGAGAACAGGACAGGGGTGGTACAGGGCAGGGGGAGGGGAGAGGTGGTACAAATAATGTATACACATGTAAGTAAATGCAAAAATGATACCTATTGAAATTGTTCCAGGAATAGGGGGAATGAAAGAGAGCAGAAGAGGGGGTGAATTCAAGTGTGATATATTTGATACATTGTAAGAACTTTTGTAAATACTCCAATGTACCCCCACCCCACACAACAATTAAAAAGAGATCAAACAAAAGAAACAAGATTTTAATATGAAAGATATTAAAATATAAATCATTGTTTAAACAGACATAATGTTAGTCTTTGTATGGGTAATTCTAAATAACTTTACGTAATGTTATTTCATACTTCAATCAAATTCTTGCTCAAAAATTAATCTGTTTATGAGAAATGTAGCAGTTTTTACTTTGACCTTAGTTTATAGGTCACTCCAACCAGCAAAGCTTTCTAGGCCAAGATCAACTGTTCTCT